ACATGACCATGTCAGGAGGCATGACCATGTCAGGAGGCATGACCATGTCAGGAGGCATGACCATGTCAGGAGGAATGACCATGTCAGCAGGTATGACCATGTCAAATGCGGATGCGATCCATTTTTTTTGGTTTTCTTTTTAAAAAGTAGCCAATCAACAACCATACATACAAACATACATACAAACATAGTCATACTAAACTTTATAGAGTAGATTGTTCGTGAAACTTTTCATTATATCCATATGTAAATGATCATTAATAAATCGTCCAGCGTTCTCAACTTTTTAACAGCAAGAACTTTTAATTTTTTAAAGAATGTTCAGTGTCCACAGCAATGATAATTAGCATGGTCCTTCCAATAAAATGCTAAAATAGTTGAGACAGCTAAACAGTATTAAAGAAAGTGTCAACAACTACATACTACATGTTCACATGTCCATATACAGGCCTGAAGTGAAACCGACAGGAATGGACATTGCGGTTAGACTGGATAGGACAGACCATGATACCCGCCAATCAATTTCATTTCAGCATGGTGTATTCTGGGGAATGGGACAGTCGCAGATTTAGAAAATATGTTTTACGCTCTTTTTCAGCCCAGCTCTGAATACAATTTTCGCTATCGGCACCATACAGGGTTTGTCATTAAAACAGGATAAAATTAATTAACAAAAATGATTTAACAATACATCTAACGGAAAATAAATGAATAAATCTTTCACTCCAGCCAAAATCTGTACAGCGATTGAACCGTTTCTGTACAGCGATTGAACCAAGTGAGCACTATATAAAATGGCCAAATAGGTGATAACCAATAGGTGATATACAACAAATAGTGATAAAAAATAGCTGACATTACAACAAGTAGGTGATATAAAATAAATAGGTGATATACAACAAATAGGTGATATAAAATAAATAGGTGATATACAACAAATAGGTGATATAAAATAAATAGGTGATATAAAATAAATAGGTGATATAAAATAAATAGGTGATATAAAAATAAATAGGTGATATAAAACAAATAGGTGATATAAAACAAATAGGTGATATAAAGTAAATGGGTGATATAAAATAAATGGGTGACATAAAACAAATAGGTGACATACAACAAATAGGTGATATAAAATAAATAGGTGACATACAACAAATAGGTGATATAAAATAAATAGGTGATATAAAACAAATAGGTGATATAAAATAAATAGGTGATATAAAATAAATAGGAGATATAAAATAAATAGGTGATATAAAATAAATAGGTGATATAAAATAAATAGGTGACATACAACAAATAGGTGATATAAAATAAATAGGTGACATACAACAAATAGGTGATATAAAATAAATGGGTGACATAAAACAAATAGGTGATATAAAACAAATAGGTGACATACAACAAATAGGTGATATAAAATAAATAGGTGACATACAACAAATAGGTGATATAAAATAAATAGGTGACATACAACAAATAGGTGATATAAAATAAATGGGTGACATAAAACAAATAGGTGATATAAAACAAATAGGTGACATACAACAAATAGGTGATATAAAATAAATAGGTGACATACAACAAATAGGTGATATAAAATAAAGATGTGACATACAACAAATAGGTGATATAAAATAAATAGGTGATATAAAACAAATGGGTGATATAAAACAGCCATGACCAGCTATAGAGCGAGAACACACACATCAAAAATATGGACTCCCCGGTTTGCTTATTCGGCGGTAAATAATATTGACAGGAACAGCACGCGTTACTGTGACCGTCTGACAGGAACAGCTCACTGTTACTGTGACCGTCTGACAGGAACTGCTCACTGTTACTGTGATCGTCTGACAGGAACAGCACACGTTCCTGTGACCTCGTCGTTGGAAATCATTGACTTCAGGAGTACTTATCTTGTTAACCGACCCCCGTCTGTGCTGAAACAACAGAGCCGGGAATCGTTCAGCGGCCGCCAGAATCAACACTGATGATCAAAAGTGGAACAAGTTGTGAGGGGGGTGGATTTGGCCAGTGCTATTTAATCTGGTGGTCTCCCCGTGGGACAGGCAAGCGTTATTGATTGACAGATTCGTCCGTCCCTGTCAAGCCGCACAGAGAGATACTGCTGGTACTCCAGTCGCCTGAAGGAATAGCACTTCTTGAATAAAATGGGGAAGTCTACTGAGGTATTGGTCAACCAAAGAGCGTGATTTTATAAAGGGACGGGGAGAATATCTCATTTGGCAACCTCATTATTTCTACCAGGATTCATTTATAGGCCTATACACCTAACAGATTACGGCTAAAGCATTAATGTGTGTCATTTTAGTGATGAATAAAACCCGCTTGTCCAATTAGAGCAGGGGTCTCAATATCAAATCATCAGGGGCCGCAGGAGGTAGAGTCTGAGTGAGACTGGGCCGCATCAAGTCGTTCACAAAAAAGTATAAAAAATTCAATAAAGTACAGCTGTTACGATCTGCTCAACCTTTATTAATACAAAAATAAGAACATTAAGGGTTCTCAAAAAGTTGGCTTCACTTTCTTCCTCCTACTCCTTGTTGCCAGAGACCTGGCAGTGCTTCTTCTTACACAGCTGACCAACATTTGACTCAAGTGAGGAAGCAACTGAGACCCTTAAAGATGCTCATCAGTAAGTCTGGCCCTGAACTTTGACATGTAAAGTTCATAGTGGAAAAGAGTCTTTCACACAGAAAGGTACTCCCAAAGAAGGCATATGATCCGTTTGAACATCTTGGAAATCTCAAGGAAGGTGGAGGACAATGCTCTCATAAATTGTCCATGCTTGTCTGTTTTTACATTCACCTCCTTGAACTTAAAATTACACTGAAGATCAATCAGCTCCAATTAAAGCACACACAAAAAAAAAAAAAAAAAAAAAAAAAAAAAAAAAAAAAAAAAAAAAAAAAAAAAAAAAAAAAAAAAAAAAAAAAAAAAAATGGGGGGTGGGGGTGGCAATCTTCCACATTAAAGAAGAAATGGTCAGCAAAAAGTTGAAAATTGGCTCTGTGTGCTTTGAAGTCTGCAGACATGTGATAAAATTCATGCTGTAGATTTGCAATTTCATCAGTATACTTATTACTGAATGGTGTGCCCAAGTCTATGATTACTTTGCATGTTGGAAAATAACAGAGGTTTCTCTAAGAATCATAAAACAAGTTTTTTTGCAGAATGCCCTGACATTGTCATAGGCAACATTGACAAGTTACCCCTGTCTTTTAACTTCTTGTTGAGTACATTCAGCTCCTGTGTAATGTCAACAAGAAAAGCCAAGTCCATGAGCCATCCTACGTGAGGAAAATATTGCATGGCTCAGCTCAGCAGATGGAGCTGATAGTCAATGTACTAGCCGGAGTCATCAGAGAGTAATCTCAGTCCTTCATCAGAATATGTGTGTTAGTTAGTTCAGGAACAACCACCCCATCCTTCTCCATGAGGTCTTTAAATTGTAAAACGTCTTCAAACAGTAGGCAGGAGCAGGCAATATTAATGAATTATTGCGAAAGAAGATGCTATTGTAGGGATAATTTTTTTTTAACTCGTAGAAAAGACCTTTTTGGCTGACCCCATCCTATTTTGAAAGTGACCAAGCTGACAGGCTCGGAGTTTCCCTCACTCGTAAACACTAGCAGCAATTTTAATAGGGATTCTTTGATACTATGTCAGATTGATACGATTTACACAATTATCGTTGTGCATTACCCACTAACTGACTTTTAAAACTTTTTTCAAAACCGCACTTTGGCCATGTTTGTCTCGTAAAATTTTGTAAAATTAAAGCTTTTAGTCCCATTTTAAAACGAGTTTTACCATTATAATCCAAGTTCAAAGCTATATGCATATATACAATGATAATAAAAATCAGAATTAGACTGGTCGGTGAGATTCGACTGAAACCGTCGCGGAGGGTCACATTAAAGATATGAGAATGGGGGAAACGTGCGGATCGCATCAACACTAAACATTGCTATCATGTAGAGGGCTGCAAAATATCGTCTTGCGGGACTCGAGTTTGAGACCCCTGAATCAAAGTAATCACGCAGGTGCCATCTTGTTCTCTTTACAAAACATAGGATAGGAAATGCTTCCACTTCCAACATGTGGTCCAATGAAGTGAACTGTAGCCATGGCGATTCCAGTTTAGAATGGGGGGGGGGGGCACACATAATACACAAGAGAATAAGGGACACATTCGACATGTAGATAACATCTTGTTAACTTCTAGTAGAACATAAGCTCTCTTCGTCTTGAAAGACTAAAACTACTATAAGCATAATGACAGAGAAGGGATATTACTCTGAAGAACAAATCTCTAAGTTGTAACGCCCTCAATTGTTTTTTCACAAAGTCGAATCATGCAAGGTAATCTATAATTTTATTGTAATTTAAATTAGAGCAAGGTGCTACACAATAATGTTTTATTAATATTATGATGGTTCACCTTGTTGACATATGAACAACACAATTCATGCACTGGTGTTCATTTATAGATAATTGCAAGCAATTTGAAAATATATCTCTCCATTTTGAATAGACCATGACATGAAACTTGTCAATGGTAGGCCTAACATCTTAATTTTGTGTACTACTAATATTACAATTTTACACATTCTTCACTGCAAATAAGTTTGTTCGGGGCGTAGTTCATCATTAATAAGCAATATTTTCAACCACGTTAGATAAGAATTCCCCTCCCCCCCCCCAAGGGTGCCAGGTTTAAATCCCACCATTATTCTATTAAATAAATTCAATATAAGCTAGAAAAATAGTTGAAGAATGACACTAAAAACAATAATTATATCAAGCATGATTGGATATTTTAAAGTTAATTAAAAAGTCTGTTAAGAATTTGTTTAGGGAGCATGCTGAGATACTTCTTAAAGTAAGCAAAAAGTAATTGAAGAAATTTTTGATGCAGGAAGAAAAAAACTCTCATTCTTTCAACAAAAATTGAGAAACATGAACACAAAAAATTGACATTTTAAATTTTATTTACAGCTTAATTTACATGAAAAATTGAGTGCCAACTTGACAGAAAATCGTCACAGTATCTAGGACGTCATCCAAAATCTAGGACAAGTTTAAGAAAATGAATAATCAAAAAGTTTTTTAAAAGTGTCATTTTTGTGAAGGAGATTTAGGGCAACTAGCCAAAGCAGATTTCTTTGTGATGACTGGTGAGATCCAAACAGCACAAAGCCCATACTCCTTGATCATAATATGGTTCATCTTGAATATTTAAACAAGAGATACTTTTTATTGGCCAAAATCTACTGTAAATGTATTTCTAACATACACATTCATATTTCAATCTACCTTACATGGGAGCTGCTGTTGAGACAAGATGATTAAAAAATAATAATCTATACACAGCATATTTCAATACTTGTATTTCAATACCGGTCAACTTAAGTGAAACAAATGTATATACACCAGTCCTTAACTGATAATAAAGATAATTCAATCAGTGGTTCTAATCCCCCTTTTGAACTCATACCCTTTTTTTTTGTAAAATATAGAAATGACCTGCAACACCATGTCACTGATTATTGAAGATTCAGACATATCAGTGCATATTTTTGTTTCTGACTTGGTTAGGAATCCCTATAATTGACAGCTACAGAAATTTGAAAAAGTTTTTTTAAGCTCTGTCTTGCACTTTAGTCCAACATAGTATTATTGTTTGAACTGCTTTTTTGAAAATCACACTGCTAAATTGGTCACAGATGTTAGACTTCATGGATCAGTTGTGTTTCAACAGGTCATAAAGAGACAACCTTCACCCTCTAATTGTATAAGTACTTAACATGTACTGATCAATCTGGGAGGAAATTGGACATGGGATCATCTGTGCGTCTCATTTTCATTCTAAAAGCTTCCATTTCTTCATCTGTTGGTGCCTTAACATCCACCATACTGTTGAATGGCCTCTTACGTTCATCCATTTGTAGCAGGCGTGACATCTTCTTATCGTGGGAATTTTGGGCCTCTAAAGCCTGGGTTTAAATAAGAATAGTAAAAAAATTATTTAAAAAAACTCAAAGAGACTCTATAAGTGTATCGAGAAATGCAGAAATGGTGTAAGAAAAATTTGACAATAACAAAAAGTTATATTTCCTCATAGTCTTCAATTAGAACAGTTTATGCATACCACACTACTGGAATAATGTTTGAATTTTAAAAATGTAATTTCTCCCTTTCTTATCAAGGTACGAAGAAGACTAAGCATAAATGATCAATAGTTTTTCTTTTTTTCAAAACCTAGTGATTATTGATACACTTGTTTCCTTGGCAAGCAAATATTAAATATGCTTGGTAAGTAAAACTAAGCATAACAAACCTCTTTCAGAAGTCTTTTCTTTCTTGCTTCCTCGTCTTCTTCATCTGATGATGAATCAGATGATGATGAGGAGGATGATGAGTCCGAAGATGATGAATCGGAAGATGATGAATCGGAAGATGATGAATCGGAAGATGAACTGCTATCAGATTCTTTCTTTTTGCTCTTTGCTTTTTTCTTCTTTTGTTTTCTCTTCTTCTTTTTTTCTTTCTCTTCCTGTTTTTTATTGTGTTTCTGACAGAGAGAAAAAGAAAAGCAAATAATTTATACAAATATATATATATATATATATATATATATATCTATATCAGAAGTAAATTTCAAGAGCATTTTTACACATTGACCCTTCAAATAACACAGGCTTTTGAGTTGAGATGTCAAACATTTAATTTACTTTGTAGAATCTAAATTCCTATGGACTTATTATGTAAAACAAAATAGGGAAATACATCTTTGATTTTTATCACCAACAATTTGTGGAATGTATGTATTTGTGAATAAAAGAAATCTACACAGTCCAGATTCCAGTTCTTTCCTATTCTATTAAGTTTTATTCCAGTCTTCCCAAAACATTATTTTTAATATGTTAGCTAATCTATAATAATACTAAAAAAATATCTGCAATTGGTTATAGCATTGACATTTCATTTTTATCACCAAAGATTTGTGAAGATTAGAATCAAACTCAGATCTTAAGTAAACATATTGTTAACCATATTCTTTAAAAAAAAAAACTCTAACTTTCAAATTGACAATCTTAATTTATAAAGTCATTTCTGCTTAATAACTTATTATAATCTTTAAAAACAAAGGAAACTTAAGATTTTCCAAATGATATATTCATGTAACATTATGGGGTGAATAGAGAATCAATTAATACTCATATTGTCATATAGAGACCGACCAAAAGTGATTTTCTGATTTCGGCTGAAGCTGAAACTAGGCCGAAAGTTAAAAATGACTTTTGGACGAAACCGAAAGCTTAAAGTGATTTTCGGCCAAAACCGAAGCCGATAGCTAAATATTTATATATTTTGAAATTCATTCATACATACATTCTACAAACCTCGATGGGGTAAAGTATCAATATTTACATTCTTTTTATAAAAAATGAGATCACCGTGAATATTAATAAACATCTAATGAATACTTTGGGTTTTACCATTTTAATTTTAAAGTAATTTTAATTTCTTTAAAATGTTTTTTTTTAAGTAGTATGGTAAGAGAAAATTTGGACCAGAGGGAGGAGGGAGCTTGGCAAAATTCATGAAGAATAGTCCCTTAAGTGCCCTTTGCTTTTATACTATAATTACAACCTAGAACATATACCTGATACTAACTACAGTAATTATTTTGGCTCTAATAGAGTCAATAGTCACATAAATATCATTTATTAAGGCTATAAAATTTCATCACAATGTTTCACGGTTATCGCCATACTAATGCTTTGTGTTTTCATAAATAGCTGGCAAGATATCCCTGTATTAATATTTAGCCTAGTACTAACACACTAGTCTTTCCCTGTTGGTGACGTAATGATTTCGATCAGAAACAAACCTCACTCCCCCCCATTGGTAGGGTCTCTTAAAATTGTTGTTCTAAACAGGTTTGCAGTAGGCCTACAACATAATTATAATTGCCACTATTCAAAACCTTGTATAAGAAGTGAGAGTTTGGGATTAAAAGACTATTTAAAATTATATTGTTGGGTTTGTAAGACAAAATGAGGTATCAAATGAAAGATAATTGAATGGACTATATGTTTGTAAACTTACTTCTTCAGTTTAACTAAAATAATCTGCCACAAATGACATCGGAATGGGATTTAGTCTAAAGAGACCCGGGTACGCATAGCCGCTATTTTAAATTTTAATTTTTTGGAATTATAGGAAAATTTAAGTCATCAAACAGCTGTGAGCAATTTTGGCTGAATATTAATCATATAACATATGATGATAGCAAGATGGCGAGCAATAATGAATATCGGATTGCCGGCTGACAGACAGTCTGACTTCTGGTAGATAACCAAAAACCTCAGTCACTTTTGGCCTATGGCTAAAAGTCTCAATCACTTTTGGCCAAAACCGAAATTAAACCAAAATTTAACTTTTCAGTTTCATCCGAAACCGAAATTAAGACGAAAGTTAACTTTTCAGTTTCGGCCAAAACCGAAACTAGGTCGAAAGGGATCAAATGGCAACTTTTGGCGCCGAAGTTTGGTCGGTCTCTATTTTCATATATGTAAAAAGTCTTGGGGTAATGAAACCATTAAAATATTCTGCTATATATATTTCCTTATAAAAATACAATTAATAAACAAGTTGGCTGATCCGCCTAAAAAAAATTATGTCATACTTAAAAGAATGCGTTTCACTAACCTGCAATAATGATTCTTCTGCTATCTGGTTAGCTCTGATATTTCCTGGGATGGCAAGAAGGTTACTTTCCTAAAAAGTAAAAGATTGTGAATAACATTTTTTACCTCTTAAAAAAATTGGAAATTTTCATTACTGCTGATTATTGCTAATGGTATACAAATTTCATAAAAATGACAAACAATAGAGATATTAATTGGCAACTAATTATTTTTAAATCAAACTAATAAATCTGTGGCTTCTTCATTTGTATGACATTATTACAGCACTCACTTCCTCTGCCTTCTTCCCTGCGTCCCCAGTACAGTAAGACTCCTTAATGAAAGAGTGGCAGCAAGCATAGCCCCACCTGCCATCTCTCCAGAAGGATCCCCACACAGACTGAAACAATTGTTACAAAGTAATGCAATGAATGTCAGAATGATTTACAGACAACTTATTATTTAGATAATTATTTTTATCAAACAAAACTGGCAAATGAAGTGAGAATCATTTATTTAAAAATGGGTGCAGTTGTTTTCGAGAACTTTACCTGACTTCTTGTGTGTTATATTTTATTGAAATTGGATGGTTTCTGTAGGACAAATTTACTTCCTGAAAAATGTTTTTATGTGATTTTTTTTAATTTTTATTTTTTTTATAATTTGGCTGTAATTTTATTGATCAACATTTTTATGTGTTTTATTTTCTGTTGCCCATTCAGTTTTGTAAGAAAAGTAACTAGTTAAAGATCATCTAGGACACAGTTAAGTTACAGCCAGGGTTAAGGTGATTTAAATCAATCCATTTAAATCGGACCAATTAAAGTTATGATTTAAATTTTAAAAAATGATTTCTAATATTTTTATTTTATCTTATCTATTTATATTGAAAGGCTTCTTATATAATATTATATATAAAGAACTTCATTAGTTTTGTTATGCATTATTAATAACATAATATATTATTTATTTACACATAATTATGATTGCACAATTTTATAATAAAATTTTCCTTTTCAATTCAATTAAACTTTTGAGTTTTAAGAAATTGACTGGGTTGATAAAAGCTGGAAAATTAGTTTTTCTATTCAAATTATTTAATAAGAAGGTTTTGGTGGAATCGAATGACATGGACGAATGACAATATTATGACACTGATATTCATAATTTGAAAGTGTGAAAATTAATTAAAATTCTTATTCATAAAGATTATATAGAGACTATAATATAATTAATATTAAGACAATGACTAACATTGATTATAAATTTTTAAAACTTTGTTTTACTTAATTATTTGATATTTGATAATAATTTTGATAAGATAAGATCCTCTTATTAATCCAAATAAATGTAAATGTTACATTGTACACATTCAATTTCATAACATAAATAAAAACATATTTAAATGAAGACAACATTTTACTATAAGAAATATCAGTTTAGGAAAAAGTATGAACATCCTTCTACTTTTAATGAGAATATAAAATGAGTAAAACAGAGTAGGGTTAAACCTGAAAAAAAAACCCCCAACAAAACAACACAAATCAGGTTTAACCCTACTCTGTTTTCCTCATTTTATATTGTGCTAACCTGATTGCAGTCTCTCTCCTTATTATCCTTTTTAATTTACTTCTTCACTGCTACTTGTCGTTTGTTTCCGTCCCATTAATTTTGATTTACTATTATATTTTCTTACTTTATCCCTTTGGGCAATTGGTACGTCCGTTCATATCTCTCTCTCTCATCAACTTTCTCTTATTCTTACATTACCCTTCTGACTTTTCCCCCTTTTTACCGACATCCCCTTTCCCCCAGTCCGTCACTGCTCTGCTATGCCTTCCTTCAAAACTACTATGAACCAACTTCGTTCCTTTTACGTTGTTTTGTTGCGTTTCTTTTTTCAGGTTTAACCCTACTCTGTTTTACTCATTTTATTTTGTGCTAACCTGATTGCAGTCTCTCCCCTTATTATACCTTTAATGAGTTTTGATTAAGATTTTATTACTCTTTTAAACATTATTTTACTTAAATTTAATTCAGTATATTAAAATCAAAAATTAAATTTATAGAACTAATTTAAATACTATTTACTCGTACATTATATTTCAAGAAAAAAAAAATATGATTTCAATTTCAAAAATGCAATTTACATTTTTAAAATTGAATTATATACTATACTATAACTAGATTATGTTTAATCTTTATAAATATAAATGTACTTCAAAATCTAAGGAAAGCTTTTTTTTAAAATAGAATAAAAAGCAATCAAATTTAAATGTTGAAAATCTTATTAAATCAAATTTAATCTGAAATAAATCATTTTTTTTTTTTAAATCGTGATTTTTATCAACAATGGTTATAGCAAATGGTAATATGAGAAATGTTTCTGGTCAAAGACAAAACCTACTTTATGATTGTTGTTATAAACATCCTCCTCATATCTTGACTTGACAGCTGCTTTCTCCTGACCTTTAATGACGGAGCCTGTTCTTGAATATTCTACGTAGTCTTCCTGTTACAAAATAATTTAATATAACAGCAGTTCTCAATCTTTGCAGGTCATTGGGATCTTTACTTCACCAAGTTCTCAATATTTTCTTACAGGCTTTTGATGATGTTTCATTTGAAAGGCTTTACAGTAGCATAAAACAAAGTTAAAACAGAAAAATAATTACATAAATAAAAGATTCATAATGTGAGCTTTGGGTATGAATTATTATACAATAATTAATACTAATAATGCTTCATACTTACAACATCCACATTAGATAAGATGTTAAATGTTTTCAATTTTCCCAGACTGATTGAAAATATCTCACTAGTTACACAAGATTAATAATAAGGTATCAAAGATACAACTTGAAAATTATTGTTGCGAAGTTTGCTTCAATTTCTCAAAGCTTAAAAAGCATTTGTTTCTGAAATGTTAAAAACTGATCTGTTCACGCATTACAAATTTTTATGCTATTTTATGGTTTCTTGAGAACAAGCACAAAATAAACTGAACATTTAACAAAAAACCTACTGTCTGTGCCAGTAGCAGCTGTTTAGGAGGAGCTTCCAGAAACTCTTGACCACCATATTTATCAAGAATAGAATCTTTTGCAGTCTTTTTAAACTCCCCTTTCCTCTTCTCAAACTCTTTGTGGAGAAGTTCGAGTTTTGTCGGATCTGCTTGAAGGTGGATGTCGTTGCCTCGCTCGTAGGCTTCCCAAGCAAACACTGAAATCAGAAGATTAAAAATTGTGGGCAAGCGAGTCAAATGGCAATTGGCACTTACCACTGGGAATAACAAAGTCCTTTCATACAATAAAATAAAAACTAGAAGATTTGTCATGGTTGATTACACTTAATAAAAATCAGCAGTTTTTTTGTCTTCCTTTGACACAGCAGCATAGACATGCAATTTAATTCCTTGTCAAGTTTGCTGCCGTCTTTGGGCGTGGATTTTTTTTAGTGGGGTTTCCCGTCTCCCAAACAATGTCTATCTTGCTGGGCAGTCAAGTCAGTGAGACCCACAAGTTTTCCCACAGTTTAGGATGACTCTTTCAAATTAAAATCCTGCTACCTTCTATTGTGCTATTTGCACTACCGTAAAGCTGCAGGGTCACCAGCACTAATAAAAAAGCAGTATAATCATGTAACCATTATACAATTTGTATGCTTTAGTGTGGCTTATTGTTTAGCCTTTTAAGTTAATGAAACTTTTACTTGATTTAAAAAAAATATATTTCTTGTTTGAGTCATTTTGAAATGACATAAAGGAATAATCTAAAAAAATCATGATGAAATGACTTGAACACATATTAACAAACCAACTGTATATATTGTTACAACATGACTTACATTGTCTTTTTGCCATCTCTTGTGAATCTCCGGAGTACCTCACAAAATTGTCTCCACCAAATTTCAGCCTGATCGGAAAGTTAGCAACAGATATCCAAAATTTTAAAATTAATAAAGTTATTAAAAAACTTGACCTATTAAGCACAAGGCTTCAACTAAACAGAAGAAATTACTTTTTTATTTTCATAGTAACACATAACCCCTATATGTAAATTAAATTACATAAGTTGACTTAATACTACCAAAATTGACATACTCAGTGATATCTTCCTTGCTTGTGTTTTTCAATGGATTTTCTCTCATGGATCTTGTCTTCGGGTCATAATAAGCTGAGTTTATGTCCAAATTATACAGATACTGTAGAGTTTACATACAAAAATCATAATAAATAAAGTAATTAAATTTTCTATAACTATATTTTCAGAGTGTGGTATTTTGAAAATTTATTTCTAATAATCTATTACATTTTATAGCAAAAATAATTAGAATTTTAAAAAAAATGTGTACATTTTATAATTACCGGGTATCAAAATTAAAAAAAACATGAAGTGCAATGTCTTTCACAAAGTTCGTGAATTCAAGCTGCAAGTGTTATAAATGTAACTATTGATAATGAATTAATGAATGATTGTCATGATAGAATTACTTTTGCTGTGTCTTCTCTAATACGCAGATTTCTAACAGTGATTCTCTGCTTGGTCTCAAATTTCTGTCCAGGCATGTCCATCTCCTCAGCATAGTATTTATCTTCACCATCGCTCTCCCCAGCCTAAAAAATAAGAAAATAATGCAAATTAACTAGAAACATAAATTTGGAATAGAAAATTTTCGAAATAATTTTAAATATCTATTTATCATACAAAAATTCTTATCAATAGTGATATGAGATTTTACACAAACTTGGCCCAGTGTGATGCACCCAAAGCCTACAATAATATTACTTAAAAATGTATAGCCAAATCCACACTTAAAATATGCTTGGCTGTGGGTTTTTAAATTCATTATAAGAGGATAAAAAATTTATGTAAGCACATAAAAATGAAAAAAATTTAGATAATTTATTTTTGAGTCAATAAGTTTTGATGTTTAATTTGATGTTGATTTGTCTGACATACAATAATTGGCTTAATTTTCTGCAACTCTTTTAAAATTAGTGCTACATAAAAATAATTTAATAATTCATTCTCTCACATAGAATGAAGATATTTTACAACTTTAAAAAAAAATTGTTTTAATATACAGTTATGCTCACTAAAGATTTATTTTTTAAAATTCTGATTATACAGTCAAACAAAATGTTTTCAAGACATAAAAATGTAAATCAAAACTTAAAAATGAGAAAACAACATACCTTTGCTTCCTTGTCCCCTCCATCTTCACCTGTCATTAGTGATTCATCTAAAACCTTTTCTTTGAGAGTCCGCTTAGCCTACCATTAGAAAGAAGTAAAAAGTTCTATGAACCATGCATCGAACGAACATTTTATTGAGTAAGATTCTATTTATAAATGTGATAAGAAAAACAATAATTCAAACATCAAATTAAGATTTGAATGATGAAAAAGAAAAATGATGACCAGAATATCTTTTATGATCATTTATGTTATAGTTATAGTTTATGAGCTTTTATGTGATTTTAGTTATAGTATTAAATATAGATATTATTTAAGAATGCTTCATGAGGAAAATAGTGAATTTTTTATTACTTCATATAAAAAAAAAAAAAAGAAAAAAAAAAGAATGACCTCTTCTATTTCTCTATATTCTTCTTGGAGTTTTCTTTTTGTTATAGTTATAGTTTATGAGCTTTTATGTGATTTTAGTTATAGTATTAAATATAGATATTATTTAAGAATGCTTCATGAGGAAAATAGTGAATTTTGTATTACTTCATATAAAAAAAAAAAAAGAAAAAAAAAAGAATGACCTCTTCTATTTCTCTATATTCTTCTTGGAGTTTTCTTTGGTGTTCCTCAGAATCAAATCCATTCCAAGTATCTCTTTTTCCATCATAATCTTGTTTTAATACTGGTACAAGATATTCATCAGGAGCTATTTTCTCTCCTGTGAACTTAGCTCCGATTTTTCTTGGACGCTGAAAAAATTATAAGGTAGTGTCATTTAAACTAAATGTATCCCCAGCATCTCACAACTTTTCTGTGTTGTAATACTGACATCTATGAGATAAAATTTACTTTGTTTATCAAATTTAAAGACAATTTTTTTTGGTCAAAGTGTACAATGAAGATAAAAAATTCAAAGAGATATACAATACTAAAATACGTACTTCAAGACAGTCTTTTTTTGAGTGAGTCATGGCACCACAATTCTGGCAAGCTCCCTTTCGGAATTTAACAGCTATTGGTCCCTGCAACCAGTTAAAAAATTATTTGCTTTAGAATATTTATTACGCAAAATATTCAACTTTAAGAAAAATCTATTTAATATAAAATAATGGACGTTTAATTGGTAATAACAATGACAAGTCATATAAGTTATGTTAACCTCCAAACTATGACTATTGAAACCCTATTTTTCTATTGATATTCCTTAAACCTCATTATTAAATTAATTACCTCTTTGACACCCTTTTTAAAAGACACCCCCAGTGGAGCATATTCAGGTATTTTTTCCGGCTGCTGTCGCTGATGTTTTAATGTAGCAGTCTCAGCTCCAAAGTACCAAGGTGCTTGCATGATGTACTGGGGTATGTGAGGGTTAATGTCTCTAAAAGAAAGATATATTTTATTAGCATGTATTTTTTATCCCAACATTAAATAAGCAATGTTTAAATTTTAAAAATTTACAACTGATTAATTATTTGATTTTCTTTTAGTATGAAGGCAAAAATTTAATTTTATAAATAGAGCAATGGGCTAAAAGTAATTCTAATCACCTAATGATTGTATTAAAATAATAAATTATTTACTAACTTTCCTTCTTCATCTTTCATGGCTGGAGCTGTACCAGCTTTTCTCATTTCTTCAAGCTCACGTTGCTTCTTCCATTCTTCCCTTGACTGCTTTTTGGGCTCATCATCATCTATTCCCATTTCATTTTCAGCCTTAAGTTTTCTTGCCACCAGCGAGGGTGGCACATTGGGTTGGAATGACATGGTGATAGGGCTGCTAGTAAGAAGGAGAAAAAAAATTTGATCCAGTCCACAAAAATAGAAGCACCGATATAATCAGTTATAGCTTGTTATCATCAAATCAATCTTTCAATGTCATGGATATTATTACAACATGAAAATGATTTATAATATGAAATGTAGGTGTCTAAAGTGTAAACTTGTGCTTTCCTATTGCCTAAGGCTATAATGGACTCGGTAGATTTAGGTTCTACATTTAACCTAGATGCATATCATGAACTTAATGGAATATATGGTATAAATAAAGTATTCAACAAAAGTTATCCACTCAATCACTGTGTGTACTTTTGAAAAATAATCAAAGAAAAAAATATGTCTTTCTTAAATGGCAGTCTGCTCCATCATCATACTCCATGGAGCTCATGTTTTAAATTTTTTTGATAGCCTAAGTAATGTTAAGGTTCATTCTACATTATATTTAAAGAGGAATTAACAGGGATCAAATTAGTAAAATTAAATAGTTATAGGGATACAGAAACATTAAGTATGACCAGAATTGTTCCCTTTCGAAATGGCTTTTAACTGTTTGAGAACTTTTGGACTTTATCTTTACTGGAACCTTTCGGTAGGTAATTGAGCATTTCACTTAACTTAAGATAAAATATCTCTAGTTCACTCTCTGTTGACGAAGAGGTGAACATCAGGATCCCAAAAGCTGCAGCAACTAAATTAAATAAGTGGGACTGGAATATTCTTAAAATAACTGATAGTACAAAATGAAACATCTCTCAGGCATGTGTGCTTTGTAAACTTTTATATGGCACTGAAGTATGGATCACATATGCCAGTCATGAGCGGAAACTCAGTAGCTTCCATTAAGGTCATATTCCAAAGGATCTGCTGCATGAAGAATGAAGGAGTTGGCAGAAGGGGCAAAACTTATTGGATGGAAGGGTCTGTAAGGGAATATGAGGGAAGCTAACATAGATATCAAGGAATGGGAGATCATCCAAATAGCAGCTATGCCTGTAGCCTCTTAAATATGGGCAAATGGCATATGCTTACTTGGGTCCCTTTACTTTAGACTAAATGCTATTTGGATGTCATTTGGGGAAGTTTATTTTGGTTAAACTGAAGAATTAAGCTTACAAACATATAATATAGTCCATTCAATTATCTTTTATTTGATACCAATTTTTTTCTAACAAACCCTACAACTACAATTATGATAATAACATTTTAAAATAAACCCAAACTCTCACTTCTGATACTCGGGTCCGAATAGCAGCAGCCTTTTAAGTTAAGTAGCCGTAGCCCTAAGTTCTTAGCCTAATGAAATAGCAAAACGAGGTATGTGGAAGCTTGAATTTAAGGACAGGACAATACGATTAGAACGTTTTGAGTTTTGGCATAGCATGGCATAGGGTCTTCTTCAGCACACTCACACAGGACAAATGAAAATATCACAAGGAACAGAGCACAGTAAACAGCCTAACAATGTTTAGCACAGACAAAATATAAATTCCATTACTGAAATACTAAAAAATAAAACAACGACCTTAGAATGAGCCTAGGCCTACAGTTTATTTGACAGCGTAAAATAAATTTGTATTAAAGTTTCTTGGACACTTCCACTACTCAGCGATTACAAGACAAAGTTGTAAACATCAAACCGGAAATAAAGATGTTCACATATTATGTAGAAATAATAAAAAATGTTGAAATAGACACATTTTCGTTTTTTTACTTCTTCAACTGTAGGCCTATTAACATTTCATAATTACCTCTGCAAATAATAATATAACATAATCTATCAGCTGGAAACTTTTTCTTCAGTAATGTAGTAATGACAAAAGTAACAATTAATTGATACTTTCTCTGTAGACTATAATATAATCACTATATTATAGTATTAGTAGTACAAAAACTGGTAATCACCCTAATGAATCAACATGATTTTTACCAAAGAACGTAGGCTAATTAATAGACTTAATTAATAATAAATTGGCAATCCTCCGAAGTCGGGTCCCAAATTATTTCCAATGATTAATCCTTACTTAAAAGTCTTGGGCATCATTCAGTTTTGAAACTCATGTTTGCGTTAGTGGACGATGTTAGATGGAGGTTGTTGGCCGTCCAGATGCACAAACACTCGAGCGCATTATGGCATTATCACTAATCAAATCATGTGTTACCAGGAACAACTACGGTCACCGACGCTTGGCGAGGATATCAAAATGTCGGTCAGCTCAACAACGGGATTTATGCTCACGCTGTCATTGTGCACGAGCGTGAATTTGTTGATCCAGTAGACCAGGAGATTCACACTATTGAAGGACTTTGGATGCAAGGGAAACGTAAACTCCACTATCAGAGTGGTAGGCCCGCTAGTCGCGATCTGTTTGCCAGCTACTTGGGGGCCTTTCAGTGGCGCAACAGTCACCAGCAGAACGTTTTCGGCTGGTATTAGCAAATGCTATGCGCCAATGACAACATTTAGTATTTACTGACTGGTTTGTAAAGTTACAGTTATTTACAAAAGCTATGACTGACATATTTGCTGTTTTCTAAAAATACACACTGTGCATTGCAGTTTTTTCATACGAAATAATTTGGGACTGGACTTCGGAGGATTGCCAATAAATTCACTATTAGTATATTAGTCTTAGTAGTAGTAGTAGTGGTAGTAGGCCTATTGAATTGCTTTTGTCCTGTGCCAAATTGATGGTGTATCATTTATTTATTTTATACCACATAATTTTTATTTTTTAGAGTCATTTCTAACTAGGCTATCATAAAATGATTGATAAACTATAACTAAAACTATTAATATTATATATAATTTAGTCTATAGTAGTGAATATAAATATAACTACTATTTAGTCAAAGACATAATGGATAGTATCATCAAGCCTGGGCAATCCTCCAAAGTCCGGTCCCAAATTATTTCATGTGAAAAAATTTGCTATGCACTGTGTGTATTGTTAGAAAGCAGCAGAAATGTCAGTCATAGCTTTTGGAAATAACTGTCACTTTACAAACCAGTCAGTAAATACTAAAGGTTGTAGGTGGTGCATAGCATTTGCAAATAGCAGCCGAAAACGTTCTGCTTGTGACTGTTGCGCCACTGAAAGGCCCCCAAGTACCTGGCAAAAAGATCGCAACTAGCACCACTCAAACAACAGAGTTTACGTTTCGCTTGCATCCAAAGTCCTTCAATAGTTTATGTGTGGATGTCCTGGTCTACTGGATCAACAAATTCATGCGCGTGCACAGTAAAAGTGTGAGCATAAATCCCATTGTTGAGCTGAGCGACATGTCCTCGCCAAACGTATCTGACGATAGTTGTCCCTGGTAACACACGATTAGTGATAATGCGCTTGAGTATGTGTGCATCTTGACGGCCAACAACCTCTATCCAACATTGTCCACTACCGCAAACATGAATTTCAAAACAAAATGATGCCTAAGACTTTTAAGTAAGGAGTAATCATTGGAAATAATTTGGGACCAGACTTTGCAGGATTGCCCAAGCTTGAATTACCCGGTTGTACCTCTAAATTTTCAGTTAAATTTCCATTGCATTAAGTAAATTGTTAATTTAGTGGCACTTCTAAATTTTCAATAAAATTTAGTAAATATTGGACAATTGCTCTATGCATCAACAAATTCATAAAGAAGCAACACAGTGATACTGGGAATCAAACTCTTAATGTAAAATATGTCTAGACGAAGCGTCATTTGAAAAAAGTCAGTAGAATATATGTCATAGTAGGTGAAAGATCAGTAGACCATTATGGTATCTTTTAACAAAAAGTTATAGATGGAAAGTTTGTAGAAGATTTTTATATGACACCATTACAAAGATGTGAATTTTTACTTAAATTTTTCAAAGCAGATCACAACTCTACTTGGGATCTAAAAAAATTATACATTTAAATTTGAATGTCTAATCACATCTCTGCATATAGATCTATCAATTTGATTAGTAGGCTCATTTCAAGTTATAAAAAGGTTTTCACTAATAACAATTTCCTTTTCTTTCTCAAAGTTGAAGCTTTCCTGTCTGAGAACTACAGTTAGCCTTCTTCTGGGAAATATTTTTAGCCAAAGTGTCCAAAGGTAAAATTAATTTGAATTTTAACAAATCACTGACATGGACATTAATTTTACCTACCGTATTTGAACATTCTTATCTCGATACTTATAAATAATAATATTAAAACATTGAATCTGAACACAGTCTGTAATTTAAAGCAGTAAATAAATCTGTTTTTAACTTAAAACACTGTTTTTTAATTTTCTACTTGTTGAAAAGTCATGTCATAATTGCCTGGCTACCAACAAGTGATTTCTAGACATCAGGAGAATCATCATGTTCTAATTGAAGCCAAATGATTTGATTACATTAATTGCTGATCGTTTTAGCTCAGTTATTATTTAATACTTATCTTTTGATGTCATGGTCCTGTTGTCCATCACACATAGAATTTTTGAATTGACCATTTAATTAAGACTTAAAACTCGATTAAAATTTTAAAAAAAATTTTAAAAATTAAAATGAAGGAACAATCAAATTTGCCATTTGTTTGCCTGAGGCCTTTCATGTCATTAATATGAACCTGATTTGGTAACTATCTGCCACTTAATTCATGTTTATGTTTTTCAATCGATGCTCCATTGTCCCCAAGACACTGGCCCAGCTTTAAAAAACAAAGCCTTCTCCAATCCTGCATGTTCATTGGAAAAAAAAAATTGCACAGAAAATAATAAAATAACCGCTTATGATAAATAAACATTCATGAATTTTGTAACATTTCAGACTCATTTTAATGGCATCCTCTGATCTGAATGATAACAATGGAAATAAAAGTGTGATTAATCTACGGCTTAGTCAAGTAACAGGAGACCAAGAAAAGACAAATGATATTTTTGTGTGTGGACAAAATAAGAACTGCAAAGAACACATTATTTATTTTGGAGGAGATGTTCAGGTAAGCATACTTAGGAAACAAAAATCATACATGTAATTATTTTTTTTGGATGTTGAATTTTAAATTCTATAAGAATTAGTCACTTATTAAAAACCTTCTCTGTGATTTCAGGATTATCCAGAAAATATGGAACGCCATCGAGATAATAAAAGATACGTTAAGTGGAACACAGAGAGCACTGCCGCCCTGATACATCGGAAATTTCCTTCATCTTTAGTCTTTGTTATCAAACCCACAAAAATGCATTTAATGACTTTTGCTGTGTATTCAAATTTCTTTGAAGCAAATGATTTTGGAAGTCCAACACATTCCAGGGATGCTGGAGCAATTAAACACTTGTCATGTCTTTATAGGTCAGCCTTAAAGGCAGTGTACCAGGAATGTGAAGTGATATCTGCAATCCGGGTTCCTATTCGTTTAATTGGGTTCAGTAAAGGATGCACGGTGCTGAATCAGATTGTGTTTGAGCTGCACTTAACTGAAGATGATGCAGGGATCAGGGATTTCATCAAGCAAATTGAAGCATTTTACTGGTTAGATGGTGGCCACAGTGGTGGCCCCAAGAACACATGGGTCACCGATGATGAGGCGTTAAAGCGCCTTGCATCGCTAGAGAGTCACATTTTTATTCACGTGTCCCCCTATCAAATTAAGGATCCGATGAGGAAGTGGATAGGACAGCAAGAGTTTAAATTCTACAAAAAGCTGTTTGATTTTAAAGCAAAGGTTCATGAAAAGGAACATTTTGAGTCAGAAGATGGCTGCATTGAAAATCATTTTAGAGTATTGGAAGAGTTCTAAGAAAAACAAAAATTTGGTAGGTTGAGAAAATACAGGTTTTGTTGAATGTTAAATATTAAAAAGATTTTCTTTCTTAAAATTTAATGAAACAGAATAAATGTAATTGTCCAACAAAGGATGAATATGGATGGATTGTTATGAACAAACCAGGAATTGATAGACAATATCAGGATCCCACACTAGTACTAGTAGCAGAAATAAAAAAGTGCTGGGTGGGACACTTTGAAAGAATGAATAGGTTGCACCACCAAAACCTCAGAGGAAAACAGCTCAAACTCAAAGTGACACAGGGATGGATGTATAGCATAAGAGTAAATTTTAACAGTAAGCAAATACCACTTAAATTTTCAATTTAATTTTTCTTTTACATTTGTAATCATTTATCAAGAACAAGAAAATTTATTGTTATCTAGTGAGAGTTTTTAAAAATTTAATTTGAATTTCTGTAGCCAGAATTTCTGCCTGACTGACAGTTAAATGTTTATCAGAGGGTCAAGTCTTTCTCCAACTGTGTCAGGGATTATTTGTCCAGTTTCGTGCCAGAATCATTACACTGAATTGAACAAAGCAGAGCATTGATGTTTTTTTTATGGTTTTAACCAAATCATGTGGTGAATAAAACGGATCTTGAGAAATATTGAGAATGGTCCTGTTGTTAAATGACAACTTTTACATAAAGCTATATAACTCATAGGGGTAGTAGAATAATCAAAGATATATTTTGGTGACTTCCCCTTCAAAACAACATCAGGGCATTTAGATGCAGTACCATTATTAGAAATAATTATTATTACTATATATTATAAATCTTGATTCCCCCACCCCCCACCACTATTCTAATAAAGAAAAGTGTCAAACTTTTTAAATTTAGTAAATAATAAATGTATAGAATTAAGTTAATATTTACCAGNATATAGTAGGACCTACACACTAGAGCAGGGGTGGCCAGACCTGTAGTAACTGAGAGCCATTTTTTAAATTAAAAAAATTGTTGAGAGCCACATTGAAGCACTATGGGTCACGACCCCACATTGAAGCACTATGGGTCACGACCCCACATTGAAGCACTATGGGTCACGACCCCACATTGAAGCACTATGGGTCACGACCCCACTCGCAATGAAAAATTCCTTTTGTGATTTATTTTTTAAAATTACTTTTTATTCGAATTTAATGATTTAAACATTTTAATTGTTTTAACCCTAACCGTATGTTGAAGAAATATAAGCGTTACAGTTACACAATTGAAGAAATATATGCGTTACAATTACACAATTAACAAATATTGAAATATGTAAAACTTATGAATAGAAACCACACTGCATATATACTCATAATTATAGTGAACATTAATTGTTATGATTCTGCTGAGAAGCCCTTGAACTAACAAGTTTCTTTCAATCTGGTTGGTAGCTAGTAGTTGTGGTGCGAAGAAGTTCTGTCAGAGCCTGGTTATTAGTTACTGCTCGATGCTTTGATTTTAGGAACTTCATTGTGGAGTACAAAGATTCACAGCAGGAGGTTGTACCGAAAATGGATTATAAGTCGGCAACTAGCTTTCGTTTAAGTTGAGGATATTTTACTTCTGGCACGATATTTTTGATATTATATATTTCAAACGAAAACTTTTAATTTCATCAATTTTTTCGGGAGCCGCAATGTGAACACAGAAGAGCCGCATGCGAGCAGCGGCTCGCGAGCCGCGGTTTGGTCACCGTTGCACTAGAGTCAGTGTAGGTTGTAGATTTTAAATTGCACTATTCTATAAATAGAAATGATATCTACTCTTCTAAAGTAGTACCCATTATTCAGGGAAGCTAAAAGCAGTCGTACATGTGTATTTCTGCACATTAACAAACAGGAACATCCTGTATGTGTTCAAACTTAAATATGACAGCTTGGTATGGGGGGGGGGGGGGGGGGGGGGGGGAGAGCTGAGAATGAGACAAGTCTTAAGGTAATAATAGGTAGAATCAATATGCACCTTTTGAAACAAGGAAGTAAGAATGTGGCCATGACCTAGATAACTCCTGACTCCGTATCTGGCATGGTTTCTGTCTATTACAAAGAGTGCAGGCGACCGTGGGAACATTAAGTCTACCGTACGGTGTTGTCAGTACTTCAGACATTGTTGGTTTGTGCACATGGATGGAGCGCTACGGTGTTGTCAGTTCTTCAGACATTGTTGATGGTATGTGCACATGGAGCTGCATACGTGGTCAAATTTTGTACCGGCACACTTGATCAAACTTTTTATCCAAATGGAAAATTTACCAATAAAGGCCACCGGAATGAATTAAACAGCTATAAAGAACAACATGACTGTTGCGTATTTTGTGTGTGTATGTGTGTGGGGGGGGGGGGCGTGTCAAATTTGAAACTGTATTTTTGAAAATTTATATTTTCAGTAATAAAATTATAACGTTCTAGCTCTTGGACAAAGAGTCGGTACGGTAACACACAGAACCAAGTCCATTTCTCCAGGATTGTCTCTTTCAAATTATATTTCATCATAAAAGCATGACTGAGTAGAGATAAGTGTTTATTATAAAATGTATAATTGCATCATTCTTTTTTTAAAAAATTCGTTTTTAGCTTACATTTTAATGTACCGGTAGTAGATTCCATACATGTATATTGAGTTAGATAAATAAAAAAATTAAAAAAGCAACCAAAAAAAAAAAAAAAAACCACAAAAAAAAAAAAAAAACAAAAAAAAAAAAAAAAATAAAAAAAAAATTTTTTTAAAAAAATTCGTTTTTAGCTTACATTTTAATGTACCGGTAGTAAATTCCATACATTTATATTGAGTTAAAAAAATAAAAAAATTAAAAAAGCAACCAAAAAAAAAAAAAAAAAACCACAAAAAAAACACCAAATAAAACAAAAAAAATTAGGAATTTACCGCTTGCATACAAATGGTGGCCATTTAATAAATTATTATTAAATCCAGTGCGTTTCTAATTTTGTAACACAGTTTTGGGAACAGCAAAGTAAAATGAATTATTTAAAAAAAAATACTTAGCCTTTATTTATTGAATCCTCAACGACTTTTCTCTGTTTAATATGAGAATAATAAACAATCTTCCTCAGCTTTTTGAGCTATTTAAAAAAAAAAAATCATTTTTAGTTGATAATCCAGTAGAAAGAAAAAATATATTTAAACAACGTAATTTAAAAAAAAAAATCTAGTATTTCGACTATCTTGTAAATGCCATTTTTGGTAGTAGTTAAAAATAAGTTCTATGGAATTGGTAAAAAATAGTTTTAAAGTATATCGAAGAGGCAAGTTGTAATTGATCTGAAGCAAATTATAGTAGCTTGAAAATCTAAATTAGCTCTTCCGTCAACTGAATATTGAGAATTTACACTTTAGTTTTATACGATTTCTTTCACTTTCACTAAAAAATCACACATTAATAAATATATGATGTCTTTTGTAAACAACTCATGTCTTCTTAACAATTATGTCGGTTACATACTACTATTAAATAAAAACCAATTTTGAAAACCCATAAAAATGTATCGCCCTTTCTACGGAAAAGCTTTTTTTTTCCTTTTTCACTTTGGAAAAACTTGAAAATATTTAAAAATAAACGTGTGTTTTTTGGTTTTTCTTTTTCGTTCAAAATGTAAAACCATTTTAGCATTTCTTTTTTTGTGATGGATACCTATTTTTGAAAGGAATTCTCTTTTAAATTTAAAAAAAAATATTTTGTAGTAAATTCATTATATTTTTATGCAGTTTACCCCAAAAGTATTTTAAATAAAAACTTTAAAAAAAAAACCACATTACTCTTCAATAAAATTAAAAAAAAAAAAATCTTTATTGTAAAACGCACCTCGTCAAGCAGAGACGTCGCTTGACTTTTTGTGGCACCCCTGCTACAGAGACGTCGCTTGACTTTTTGTGGCACCCCTGCTACAGAGACGTCGCTTGACTTTTTGTGGCACCCCTGCTACAGAGACGTCGCTTGACTTTTTGTGGCACCCCTGCTACAGAGACGTCGCTTGACTTTTTGTGGCACCCCTGCTACAGAGACGTCGCTTGACTTTTTGTGGCACCCCTGCTACTTTTCGGTTTTGTCCTTCCCTACCTAGCAGTCAAAGTTGATCGTTAAAAGTAATTACAGCACAACTTTAAGCCCCTAAAAAATACGAGGCCCCATGCAGATATATGGGTTGCAGACCTCACACGATGTTTCTGAGGTCAAATGAGACAAAAAATTCTTAACTAGCATCCCTCCAGTTGCTCTGAAATTAAGTGTATATTATGATGCAAAACTAAATTTAACTATGTACAAAAATGCATTCTTGCATTTTGAAATTATCAAAAATTTCCGGGGCCTGAAAAGTTTTAATGGGCGAGTCTAAGCTAGAGAGTATCTCTCGACAAAAAAGCATACCCTTAGGGCTCCCAACTGGAATGAATTTAGTTAATTTTGGGCTGGTCGAAGAGTTAGCGATGTCCTGTTATTATGGCTATTTCTAGCGCTTCCCACCCAAAAGTCTGAAATTTCTTCATCACTGGCGCTTAATCCCATATAGGGTCCTGGCCTGCTCCACCACATTCTTCCATTCGGATCGATCCATCGCTTTCCACCTCCATGCGCGCACCCCCCCCCCCCCCCCTTCCCAAAAGTCTGAAATTTCTTCATCACTGGCCCTTAATCCCCTATAGGGTCCTGGCCTGCTCCACCACATTCTTCCATTCGGATCGATCCATCGCTTTCCACCTCCATGCGCGCACCCCCCCCCCCAATCTTTGTAAATCCCTATCTACATCGTCAAGCCATCTCAGTCTTGGTCGACCGGTGAGCCGTCTGCCCCTAGGTTTCTGCCTGTGAATCGTTTTTTGCTGCTTCCGAATCCAGCATCCTTTCAACGCGTCTTGTCCAGGGCAGTCTGCCCTTTTTTTTGATTGTTGCGACTATGGATGGGTATTTGTACCACTGACATTGCTTTTGGTTTGTACGGATTCCCAAAACAAAACTGTATATCATCGGGTCATATATTGAGCAGGTTCCCTGCTTTTCTGTTAGTAACCAAGTCTCACTTGCTTAAGTTACTACTGGTCTTATGATGGTGGTGTATATTACTTTCTTTGTTCTCCTAGAGATGCTTTTGCTTCGTAGTAGCTTTTTAAGTTGAAATAAGAAAGGTTGCATGCTGTTTTCCTTTTTTTCACCTCTGATTTTATTTCATTTTGCTCATTTATAGTTACCCCTAGATATTTGAAAGTAGCCACTCTCTCAAAGGTGTGGTTGTTCATATTTGATGTTGTCATCAGTGTGCGTATTTCCTGACATTATCATATAGATTTCCTTCGCTTTATTTACATCAAGACCAGCTTTGACCATGATATCTTCAAGTTCCCCGAAAGCTTTATATATCATTGTTGTTTCTACCAAGTAGCGCTATATCGTCTGTGTATACCAGATACTGCACTGGCTGGCTTTATAAAGTTCCTTATGATTATTCTGTACTATCTCTCTGGTGCTCACAGGTATTTTTTAACGCCTTTTCTAAGGTGATGTTGAATTTGGATTTCCTTGTCTGTGGCCCTGATTAATTGGGAACTCCCTAGAGTACCCTCTCTGTACTTTGATTCTACTCTTTGGACTCCAAGTTCCAGGAGAGCATTGTACAGGTATTCTCTGTCTATGCTATCATAAGCGGATTTGTAGTCCACATATAGTTGGAGTATGTTGATATTGTATTCTTAGCATTTCTCCACGAGACATCTAAATAGTAAATATATGAAAGTCTGAAAAGCCCCTTTACACATTGTCTGAAAGATACATTGAATTTGCATATAATAATACACTGCCTAGCGGCATGCCTAGTTTAAGCTCCACCCTAGGAGGGTTAACTTTTTTGCCGCGCTACCTTCCTCGATCGAAACTCTGC